GCAGATGGGTCTAAGATCTTCACATATAAGGTCGACGATCATTTCATGTGGGATGCTAATCCCTCTATGTGTGACCCAGACTGTGACTGTTGGATGGACCTCGAAAATGAAGAAGATGATCGTCCGAGTAGCAGAAGGAGAAAAAAAGTAATAATTTAAGGGGCAATTTGAGTTATGTCATTAATTTGTTAGTTTAATGAATATAAAGGCATTTTGAACTTGAGTACTTGGCGAAATGAACTATTTTCAAAATTTAGGTGGCATATTAAAATAAAGTACAAAATTAAAAGAGCATTTATAAAATTAATTCAAAAGTAAAATGTCTAAGATACCCAAATATTAATTTTGTCTCTTTCATTATGAAACTGTCCAAAACACCGTGTGTTTATAAACCAGCGTGTGTTTAAAATCCATCTCAAAATACCATGAAAGCAACTAAATTTTCTAAAATAGCAAGATTATTTCTCAATATATTTTAAATACAATTTAAAACATCATTAAACCAACATTATAAATCAAATCAATTTTAAAAGGTAATTCCTCAAAATAATAAAAATATTTGTTTTATTTGAAATATTTGTTTGAATATTTTGAAAAGTTATTTAATTTTCTAGACATATTTGAAGTAAATTTAATAAAAAATAGGAATGTTAATTTTGAGTTTTTTGAATACATAATTGCTGAAGCAATATTTTCAAATTGATTTTCCCAAAGGGTTTTGGAATTTTTTATGAAAAATTGTCTGCTATTTTGCACGTAAAAGTGTAATTTACAGTAAACTAGTAAAGACAGCACGTGCCTCGCATGTGCTGCATCACCGGAAAAAGGTTGCGTAAACATACGCATATGAATAGACTAAAATACAACGTGATGGACTCTGGGGAAGGAAATTTTAATATAGATGAAAGATTTAATCCTTCGGAATTGTTGGTATTGGGTGCTGTGTTTACTCATTGTTGTTATTCCTCAAGTAAGAAGCATTTACCAAAAACATCATTGTACAAAATAACTTGGCCCTATGATCTATCTGTTGTCTGATGTGGCAAGGTAGATTTTCCCACGTCAGCCAACGGATGGACGCTGACGATTAAAGGGCCAGCTTTTAAAGATGAGTACCGTACCAGTGAGAGAAGGATCGATCGGCCCAAAGTGTTTTAGAATAATTCTTGAAAAAACGTTCAAGAGCAGCAAGATTGTAACCAACAACGTCCAAGCTGACAGTCGACCGATCGAACAGTCAAGACGGAGATAGATCCCAAGCCCAATAAGCCAGCGACACTATGGAAGGATCGATGGGGGTGAGGATACCGTTTTGGCCCGCTGTGGAGGCCCAGTAGGGACGCAGAGGGTATGACGTTCAGTCCTATGACCCATATCTCGAGAGTATCCCCTAAGGTGACATGAGAGAAATCCCTAAATTTACTTGTGAGTTTAAGTAAAGTCAGTAGCATGAAAAATGATTACCGGCCTATTAGCCGCCTAAAACGGACCAATGGAGAACGTGGAAGATCCATAGAGCTGTAATAGTGGACAAAGTAGGTAGATGAACAGTCTAAAAGGTATTGAAAAGCTACAGTCTAGGCAAGTAGGATAATAGGCTACTCGAGAGAAATCGTCAAAAAACCATTTGTCTCGATTTCCTAAAATGTGTAATTTGTGAGATATAAAAATGGCAAAGCTTTAGAGAAAAATGATAGAAAAAAAAATTAGGAGAGCAAACCCTCTGTAATCGAAGAAGAGAGGAAATAATAAAAACTTTCCTAAAAGTAGATGTTAGCTATTTCATTGAGAGTAAACCACTATAATTTCTAATGTTCTTCTTATTCATTAGCATTTTTATTCATATTCAGAGCAGTCTTAGGATCCACACACAACTAATTGCATTTCTCTAGTTATCTTTACGTATTCTAGCCGGTAACCCAACTGATTACTAGACGGTGACCCGACGTATTTCTGTTGACAAAATTTCACCGTCAACACTATCAACCCAGCATTTAGATATTCACGATTGCTTTTCCAATATGTACAGTGTATTTATAACCAAAAAAATTTACATAAGTGGTAATTGATCAAAAGTAGTTAATAACTATAACAGATGTACAACAGATACTGGTTTCATTAATTATATGTTTGTAGCAAAAAGTCAAAAACATGAGACAACCTTGTCTTTTATGTTGTTTGTAGTATTAAACCTATGGAATCAGTCGCTCTTGTAAACATCGAACAACTGACTAACAATATATACGTTTTCAACGCGCAAATAGTCCGGTTTATAACTTTTGATATAGATGAGATGCTCTATCAAACTTGTTGTCTGTGCGAAGCTTTGAATTTCTGGTATTCCATCGTAATGACGAGAAAATCTATTGTTTCATATTTTAATATAGAAGAAACAGATGTAAGTAAAAATAAATTTTATGTTTAATGGAGAGAACACACATTTAACAATCTACTGCCGTGCAGTGTAGAAATTTCTCAGCATTATTTCCAAACATTGTTGCTAGTAGAATTCCTGATTCATCTTGTAGTTGTTCTTGAATGAAACCCCTGTATATGGAAATAGATGGTTTTTAATGAACTTCAATGTAGTGTTAAACACATTAATTATAACATGTAAGTCGTTACCTGGGTATTGCTTTCACATTGTTTTTGTTGCAGCGCTCACAATTGTATAATTGATTGTATCCAGTTGTTGCAGATTTGTGACAGTTTTCACAGCACAAGTACCAAAATTTTTGCTCAAAGTCCATTAGAGAAATTTTAGCTTTTATCCAGAAATTCTTTCTCTAAAGCTATGAATAATTAATATACATGAGGTGAGTATTTACCAAAATAAGAAATATATAGCTATTAAATTAGCTTTAGATAATGCACGCTGCATTCTTTCAGCAAGAATTAGCTTTAGATAACTTTGGTTTTGTGTTCGCTTGTTATTAGGTGAGCAAATTAAGTTTTTGTTTATGTAACTAATGGTTAATGAAAAAACATTTCCGATAATTTTTTTTTAAAAAAAATGTTTCTCTTACCATGCACGTAATGTGATATAGTTAACTGTTTTAGAAAATGCACTCCACACTGACTAAATATAGCTAACATTGAGTGGCTAACCATTTCATTTTTTATATTATTATTTTTTTTTCAATTGTAATAATTGCAAAAGTTCTTTTATAGATTCAATACATTTATTTATATTTTAAATTTAATAAATATTAAAATAATCTATGTTTAGTTAAAATAGAGAATATAGTTAGAGTGTCTCACAAAAAAGTTATTAATTATTTTAGCTAGAATTTAACTAAAATTTAGAAAGCTCCCTTAGACATGCTCTTAGAATGTGAAAAGGGATTATACGTTCCCGTTTGCAAATAAAAACCTAACCTTGTTCTTTTCACAACTCAAGTTACAATTCAAGTTCTATAGCTATTTTCTTTCCATAGAACTTGAAGGTGAGCTTATTTTCTTTTCATCTTCTCATACCAAATAACATAAAAGAAAATTAATTTTCTTTCCATCATTGCTATTTTCCATCACTTCTATATTTCATTTCTATCATTTTTTCTTTTCTTCCTACCAAACATAGCATAAAATACGGGGAAACTTTCTGTGCTTCGTTGCCACTAATTCTCTTCTCTTATTCTTTAAGTCGAGACTTTTTTATCCGCATTACTTCTTACATCCCTTAAAACGTCCAACCTAAGCCTATAAAAGAAGTCTTCATGGCTTACCTGTGTGACCTACGGTTTGCTCTGATTCATAAATTTCATGGTCATTTCCACCCTGCATAAGCAACACACAAACGTTCATAAACACGGAAAATGACAGACTTGAAAGAGTGAAAATCGACTACCAAAAGTAGTACTAGAAGTCTAGAACCGATATGGACTCGCAGACTTCTCAAATTTCTCAACTTATCAACATATATGAGTTCTAATAAGATCATTATTGCAAAGTTGAGAATATAGGAATGTTTACTTTCCTTCGTTTTCTGGACGCAAGCTACCACAAAGCCAGACTATTTCTCAGAACGATTATTTGCACAAGGCACTTTAACAAGGAAAAGACAAATTCAAGCCCCTAAATTTTACTCACAGACCTAAATTAATGGAATGCACAAAACTAAAACATAAAAAACAAACCAACTTAAGAGATAGTTGAAAAGCAAGAACTGAAAATACGATAGCAGGTAAGCAATTAGGTAAAACTAACAACAGAGTATGCCGGAGCAATTGAGCAGTGAAATTGCAGGCTAACCTTGTAAGTTTCATCACCTAAGAAATGGATTTCTTGAAAATCATCAAGGCATCTCAAGCAGTATGTTTTGTCCCAACCTTGAGGGAAGACCTATTTCAAGGAATATGAGCTGAACATAAGTTCTATGCTAGGACTTCCAACCAATTTCACCGCACCTGTGTAAGTGCATGCTACAACGTATGCGTTTTTGGGAAACTAAAATGTCCCGTTCGGTTCGTTAATTCGAGTTGAGATGTGATGTTGTGTGAGAATTTTTTACTATAACAAAAAAGTTAGATGTGACTGTTTCTGAGAGCTTTTTACTATAGCAAAACTCGAATCAGCGAAAAGAACGGGGGCCTAAGTAGACTGCAACTGTTACTCAAATTGAAGCTAATTTGACCTCCTATGGAAAATGTCAAGTTAAGATGAGCAAACCTCTCTCTGAGCACAGAAACCATTTTGGGGCGTATATTGTGAACCTGAAACCAATCACATTTTACAAGTTGTAGGAAAGTAATAGATGGTAAATCTGTAACTTTTCTCTCTCTTCTTTCGGCCTCAAGAGAAAAAAATATTTTACCTTATCATATCTTTCAAATTCATCCCTTTCTTCTTGGCTACAGTTTCGCCCAATTGGTGAAACATTGATCATCCCACTTCGAAACTCTATAAATGTTCCCCTAGCGTAAAAGAAGGGAAATAAATGACTTTTACCAAGTTTATTATGGATGTAAATTGAATCTGGCTATCCATCTACTAACCTCTTTATTGGGATATCCAAATCGGCAATATAATGAAGTGTAAAATCGATAAAACTCCTGCATAGTATTTTCAATAAATCATGAACAACGGATACATATTAAGTACATAATATGCTATTTGTGAGCCTATGATACAAGTCCAAACATAAAGATGCCACATGCTTCCACCATTCCAACATGTTCATGATCTTGGGGCCGTTTAGTTCGTTGATTCGAGTTTTTAATTCGAGTTGAAATGTGATTTTATGTGAGAGCTTTTTACTATAATAAAAAAGTTATATGTGACTGTTTCTGAGAGCTTTTTACTGTAACAAAACTCGAATTCTAAACTCAAATCGGTGAAATCTTAAATACACCGATCCCACTATTCATCAACAATCAACAACTGATGGTTTGGAATGTTTGAACCTATCAGATATAGGGAAAATAAATTGCTACAGCCTTAAACATGTACAAATAATACGCTATTGGACCATCCTTCATTTAAATGATTTGTGTTTTTAAAGTGGTATTGCAATGGAAGAACAGAAAATGGGATAATACCTTGAGCTTCTCGTCTCCAAGAAATGACTTCAAGCTCTAAACAAAGGAAAATATAAAATCATCAACGGAATATATATCATATAGGAAACATGAAAATTATCATGAAGGAAATATGTTTGATTTTGTCATAAAGTGTTGAGATAAAAGTAGAGGTAAGTGACATTTTGAGGCTCAAATAAAGACTTGAGCACTTTGACGCAGAGAGGAATAAAATTTGCACAACAACAATACGAAAGAAAACTGAACAGAGCACATATATCAGATGAAAAAGGATTTTTCCAGCAGAATACTCCAAAAGGAAACACAGGTGCTCCTTTCTGTTTTGATTTGTTTTTTTTTTTTTAAAAAAAAAAATTACATTAACCACATGTAGGTTACTAAAAGTAGGATTTTTTTTTTTTTTAAATGTTTCTTGTTTTTATCCACTGAAGCGGTAAAAGACCCTGATTTTACGAAGCATATGTTCCAATGATAAAAAAATCAACTTATCACAACAATGATTCTTGTACCACTAGTATGTTCATTTCTAGACTTAAAAGCACTAATTACCCATTACAGTGTGACCGCTTGTTTATACCATGGGACTAGTCATTCTCCAAGCTATACCTGGGTTCCAATGAGTTTCCCCTCTTTGTGAGCCACAAGACCATTCTCCGAAAACACATAATCATAATCATCAATAACTGCACAACAATTGACAAAGTTGATTGACTTAGTAATATGAATATGGAAAGTTAAATATTAATGCAGGCATAAAGAACAGTCTCCACTATATCTTTTTGCACCAAAATATGTGACATCTAAATCGACAATGTCCCAAGATTCTACTTCACATCTTCAAATGAACCTGATGCCCAAGATCGTATTGTAACCTGTACTACATTACTGGCGACGAAGGGAATGCTCTTTGGGGAAAAACCTAACATGGCAAGTTGCCTACAAAAGTGGGGGATGTCTGCAAAGCAGGCATTAATTGCGAACCCTTAAACTGCCCCACAGGGGACAGAAAATGGTTACAGGAACGCACAGAGCCGTAATAGAAGACTAATTGGCTGAGTGAACAGTACTCCAAGTAATTAGTGGGCTACGTCTGGGTCTAAAAAGGGAGAGCACTTGAGTGTTCTGCCTACAAAGGAAATCAACCCAGTGAAGGAAGCCCCAGTATAAAAGGGGCGAGACCCCATACAGGAAGAGAGTTCAGATCCAAGAGAGGAAAAAGAGTGAGAGAGAACAATTGATGTAAATTGTAATCCCCTCAAAAGAAATATACAACCACAGTGGATGTAGCTCTGATTCTATAGAGTGAACCACTATAAAATCTCTTCTCTTCTTTTATTTGTGTACATCTTTGATTAACGCACAATACACCCCTCCAACAATTCTTACACACATTCAACACTAAGGTCGGTAATCCAACGGGAAACCCAGAGGTAACCCGGCCTATTTTTGTTGACGAGAATTCACCGTCAACATTACCGTTATGATCTCTCCACTTAGTAGCACTCTCAACGAGAATGGAAATGAAAGAGGGAGAAAAGAGAGGAAAGAGTCCAAAAAAATTGGGAGAAATGAACGCGAGAGTGAAGGGAAGAGAAAAAAATACAGAGAGAAAAGAAAGGGGAAGAAAACAATGCAGAAGAAGAAACACAACAGGGAGAAGACGAAGGGAAAAGAAAAAAGAAAAGAAAAGAGAGAGGGAAAAAAGTAAGGCTGACACGTGGAGAGTAAGAGGAATAAAAGTTAAGTTTTTATTTTTTTTTTCCTACTTTTGCCTTGAATGGTTGTAGAGTAAGTTCCAGGCTAATAAAAAAAATCCTACCACACTGAATAACTAAATTTATATTCTTCTAATAAAAGTATTTTTGTTTGTTGGTCGATTTGTATTAGTTTGTTGGTTGGCGAACTCTAGACATGAAAACAAATTTGGTTGGTGAACTTTGGTTTGTGTATAAGACTTTTAAAATTTGATTGTTGGTTTGTGTCAAAATTTTTGGATAGTGAGCTTTAACAATTTGCTACTTTTGGATTTTAAGCTTTGAATGTTATCTTTATTTTTGTAGATGGAACATTTTATAAGGGTTTTGAAATATTTAAAACTTTTTAATATTAAGTCTAAATTCCCACCAAAAAAAATTTTATACTTTGGTCAGTTGTTAAAAAACCGCTCAAATCAACATTGAACACCCTTAATCTTTGCGAAAAAAACTTTAACAACTATGCCTTTCCCTCCCCTCCCTCCGGTGTATGGTCGGGATTGAGATTACCGAAGTCAAGCGAGGTTGGAGACAAGACCTTGATTTTATCTCGTTAAACATTCAATAAGAAATACAATATGATGGTAAACAAATATGGTGTGATATAATTTAATAATTTAATATGATAAAACCAAACACGGGATAATATAAAACTTATACCATACATATAATATGACACGATATGATGTAATACAATACGATGTAATACAATACAATCCAATCCAATCCAACACAATATAATAGAATAGAATAGAATACAATACAATACAATACAATACGGTGCAATAAACGTGACCTAAAATTCATTTATAAAACTTCTCACTTACTATTTGTCAAAATGTATAACAACATTGAGCAGTCAGGTTGGTATCTGCCTAAACATAGAAAAGGGATGCTAGATTGATATTTCCATCCATGGATTTTAATCAAGTCAAAATGAGGACACTTCTGACTGAACAAACCAGAGACCTGAAGGGCCATCATTTGGCAGCAATGCCAACCTTACTAGACTTGCAGCGCCTTCTTCGACGGGTAAGATCCCCGTGTTGAAGTTTATATCTGTTTTCACAAAACCAGGGCAGACACAGTTGATGAGAAAATTAGGGTGCTTCTTGGCTAAAATCCTTGTGTAGGCATTCATGGCAGCTTTCGAAACCGAATATGCAGTCAGAAGAGTTGGCCAGCCTTTGCTTTCTAATGAAGCTTCTTTGACATCTTTCAGAAAGTCTGTCAAGAACTCCCCTATCTTATCCTCTGTAAGGCTTTCAGCATCACTAAGAACCTCTTTGGCCCAATCATTTGATATCCTCTGAAAAAAGCAGATAAAGTTTTAATTTTCAGGCAACAAGTAGTGGCTTATTAGCAAACTTTATCCCCTTCTTCTAAAAACTTTGTAAGTTTACCATGTGTTTCGGATGCCTTAACCAAAGAGTAGAAGTCCGAGATTTTATCCCAACTTTTTAACTGTTATTTGTACATTAGTATCAACCTTTAAATACTAATTGATTTGACAATTTTTTAAACACCACAATAAAATAATAGTTGGTATAAAAAAGTTAAAATAAAAGTTGGTACCCCTAGCATTAATCGTTTAAAAGCCTACTATGGAGAAGCCAAATGTTATTCCTTTGGTCCAAGTCCTCCATAGTCAAAATCCGATTAATAATCTAATGCAAGATCGTAAAGTTTCTCAGCACACTAGTAACTTATTTGCATACCTCTAACTTTCCCGCGCCCGATGAAACGTTGACAATCCTTGGGGAATCAGATAACTGGAGGAGAGGAAAAAGCGCTTCAGCTGTTCTTTTAGCACCGTAGTAATTTGTTTGCAAGCATTCTTCGGCTGATTCATAAGTTGGAGTTACTGTTCTGCTCACATCAGTCTGCTCTTGTGCCTTCACAGGAGGAAGAGACAAACATATATATATATATATGTGTGTGTGTGTATATGTATGTATGTATATGTTAGAATGTTAAAGATCTTAAATATTAATATCCAAAAAAACAAACACGCTTACACAATGATAGGATGAGTGCGTAATTCCTTACTAAGTAATTTATTGGATAACTAAATGAGAAAATAACCAAGCTTAGGAAGAATCAGACTACAACTTTGTTTAAATGCAATCTAAAATTATATTTAATGGCTCTTTCAGAAGACGATTATTCACTAAAGCTTCATACAAGGCCTTCTGTCAACCGTTATGTTCATGAGATCCCTATTTGAATAATAATGCTAATAGTAATAGGTTATTATTATTATTATTATTATTATTATTATTATTTGCGTTTCTAAAAGGGTCATGGGAAGAGAAGTCAGTTCTCAAGACTAACCCCACTAGAATTTCGGGAAAAAGCTAAAACTGCATCAATATCTGCTCTTGCAACACCCGTCCCTGCATTGTTCACCTGCGCAAAGTGAAAGCATTTTATCGTATATTTTATTGCGTTTCGACAAACTTTGAAAGCCAAACAAAAAATAGTTTACATTTCCTTATGTTAGGAAACCCTATTGATCATAAGGGTAACCAAGTGTGGACTCTGGTAAAATAGAGAATCATTACTTTTCTAATTCTCCCTAAAACTTAAGTAGTTAAGAGGTGGGGAAATAACGGTATTATATTCCAACATAAATATGGACAAAAGGACCATAAAAATTATAAGGGTAATTTGCCTTCTTGGACAGTTAATTTAGGCCAAATATAACATCATGGATGAGTTTTGTGTGATTACAACAAAACATACGTAAATTGTCTGATTAGCAAAACACAAGGGATAATCTACACATTTTAAACACATGTATATTCTTGCATCACGATTGCACACAAAGGAACGGTTCTTGTCATTTTTTCTGTAGTATTGATGGATGCTAGCAAAACTAAGCACGATTTAGAAAGTAAAATGGAGTCTTAGGGGGGAAAAAAAAAATACTGTGTAAGATTTATAACTGTCAAGACAACAAGCATAGATTAGTGTAGGATATCAGTAAATATGAATTAAGTAGAGCAAAAGAAACTAAACATATTGAAGATGGGATTTTGCAAATTTGGATGCTTTTTAGTAGTCCAATGAAATGTATATAATATCGCGTATAAGATATCAAACTAGACTATCAAAGTGGCTTTATGGCTTCATTCAATATTTATTGTGTTCATAACGCAAGAGAAGCAAATAAAAAAAATTCTGTGAACTCTTTAATTAAATCTGCGGTTTTGGAGTCTGCATTTGACATAATGTTTATCTAGAAATAGGATTGTATGCTACCAAGATATCAAGTTTTCCGAACCGGGTCTTGACGAAATCTGCCAAAGAAGCAATGCTAGTAGGATCAGTTACGTCTAGCTGATGAAAAAGCACTTTATCAGATAGGCCATTCTCTTTCAATTTCTCAACAGCTTCAAGACCTCTTTTCTCATCTCTTGCTGTTAATATCACAGTAACTCCATTTGAGGCCAATTTTCTAACTGTCTCAAATCCAATTCCCTTATTTGCCCCTGTCACAACAGCATATCTGATCCTGATAAAGTCATTGAAAAATTCATGTTGATTCACGGCAAAAATGATGAGCAAAAAGAGGAAGTAAATCTTGTCATATTACCATTAAATGCATTTGAACAACTTGCTTGGAGAAGAAGGAGTTAATAGAAATCTTTTCTCAATTAATTGCTTCTTGCATTTTTTAATCATTCCATTTAGTGCAAAGTCATCAGATCCAAAAAAACAAAAAAAACAAAAAAAAACACACAAATAAATCATAAAGAACTAAAAACAGAAAACCAGAAACAGGGTAACAAAAGTGTTGCCTACCTTTCTGGTGTTGCTCCTGACATTGGTGATGGAAATGGAATCAAGAGTTTGAGCTTTCGGTTTTGATCGTTGACTTGGTAGTAGATTTTGGTGCGTTTCTTTTCAGAAAAGAAAAGCAATTGAAAATATTTTGTCCTTTTCGGATAGTGTGGTTTATGTTTGTGAACTAATTTGCAGCCACAGAAATCACGATAATTTATTATTTGATGACTCTGAACCGTTTGATTAGAGCATTCGTTCTCTGATTTGAATCATAATTTATAATTCGTTATAGTATTTTTTTTTCACAAAAAACACACGTAAATAAAAAATAATTCTAATCTCATAGTTTCAATCCATGAACCAAACGAGCTTAATTTTTGGCCACTAGTCGTGAAGCCGTAGGCCCCGTTCATTTTACTTATTCGAGTTTAGAATTCAAGTTTTGTTACAGTAAAAAGCTCTCAAAAAAAGTTATATCTAACTTTTTTACTACAGTAAAAAACACTCACATAAAATTACATTTCAAATCAAATTTTAAACTCAAATAAGTGAAATGAATTGGCTAATTTTCATCGAATTCTATTGTATTTAGTGCTGGAACTTCGGGTCGGCGGGCCGCCCGAAGCCCGAATTTTTTCGGGCTCGGGCGGGCCGGCCCAATTCCCGCCCGTCCAAGCAAGAAATTCGGGTTCGGGCTCGGGCAGCCCGGATTTGACATGTCCACCCTTGCCCGCCGCCGTCTAACCACCGTATACCGCCGTCTGCCGGGATTTTTTTGCATTTTTCCGACCAAGCCCGAACTGCCCGACCCGAAAATTTCCCGAAAATTGGGTGTGCCCGAATTGCCCGACCCGAAGCCCGAATTTTTGAATTTTGCCTGAATTTTTCCCGCCTGCCCGACTTGCCCGACCCGCCCGAGGTGCCCGAATTACCCGAATACCTGAAAACGGCTAGGTTTTTGAATTTTTACCCGAATTCGGCCCGAAAGCCCGAACTGCCCGAATTGCCCGATTTGCCCGAAAACGGCTAGTTTAGCCGTTTTATCCCGTTTTTTTTGAAAAAAAATCATTTTTTAACCCAAAAATTTCCCTATAAATACCCCCCATCCCTCACACATTTTTCTCACTCAAACTCTCTCAATCCCTCTCAATCTCTCTCAATTTCTCTCAATCTCTCT